ACTGGGCTAAAGGAACCATCAACTAAGGATATTCAGGGCAATAATTTGACTGAAAAAGAGGTACCCTCCAGAGACCACTTAATCCAGCAGTCACCAAATCCATCTTTCTCAACAAATTGTTTCAAAGAGTCTTCAAGAGAGTCTACAATAGAAACTAGTGGTGTGTCTACAGTGACAGAAGTTTCAGGAAGTAATAAAATATCTTTTGATATTCTGAGCAGAAAAAATTCAAATGAACAAGATAATTTTTCTGATAAAGACTTAAGTTTTTCAACTGTCACAATATCTCCACCCCAACTGGAGTTGCCAACCAGAAAGAGTTTATTTTCTTTCCTGACTGGATCCGAAAAACCTGAGAACAAAGCCTCTGCTACTCTACCAAGAACCAAATCTCAAGCAGAAGGGCTATTCACACTCCCTTCCTTTTTTCCCACTAATTCAAGCATCAAGAAGGATGCCTCTCATAATAGCTCCTTTAATTTCTTCAGCTTGTCCTTTTTGGATGCAAAACAGCAGACTCCTGGGGAAAAGCATAGCCTCTCAACTATTGCTCCAGTGACTTCCCAGCCCTGTAAGAAGCCAAGTGTTTTTGTAGACACGTGTGGCACAGTGAATGAAGGTTCCAATGGCAATAGAGGTAGCATAGTCCAGGAGTTAATTCATGAGCAGCAAACGGCTCCTTGTGTTTCCATTAACAACACCATTGAGGTTACCTCCCTTGATGATGAGCTCAATGTAGGGGGGAACTATCAGGGAAAGCTAGGCTCCAGTGATGGATCTTTAGCAGATTTCCAGTTGAATCAGTTGCAAACAGACATTGCTCCTCATTCACCAGGATATCAGGCACAGACTGAAGCACTGCTTATTGGTCCAGAGACCTTGGAGGTAGCTTCTCATGAAGAAGATTTCATACAGGAAGCCCTCCTCAGCTGCTCACTGGCCTCAGCTTTTCCACATGATGGTCATTTGATTGAAAAGCTCAACGATTTAGACACTTGTACTAACCACCACCAAAATAAAAGATTTTCTGGTGGCCCATTGAACTTGCCATTAGAAAAGGCCCCTGTTGAGATCTTAACACAGATCCTGGAGCCAACCTCTTCCTCTGAAGAGCCGGGGTGTGCAGGGCACCTCCAGGGCCGAGACACAGATAAAGAGGAAGACAAGTCATTGTTGGGCTCTTCAGTAGGAATGCTTTCAGGGTTTGTGAACAAAGTGAAATCTTTCTCTGGGAGCTCAACTGAACCTCCCAAAACTCTCTCTGGATTTTTCTCCTCTTCTAAACCTCCAAAGAAAAACTCTTTTTTCTCTCTTGCTTCTGGTGCATCATCTCCGCCACTCAAAGGTGAGTTATTTGGAATTTTCAAAAGTCCCAAACCAGAGACATGCAAACAAGAATCATCTATCCCAGCTACTGCATGGCTTCAAAAAGGTAGTTCCAGAGATGCTGTAGGATCAGCACCTCCAGAAAATTTATGGAGAGAGGATGCTTCTGCATCATTCAATTCAGAATCTGCTCTCAATGACTATAGAATGACTGTGGTTAGAGCCAAGTCAGACTCGGAGACCTTGACAAATGGTCCTAACTTCACAACTCAAGTGGAAAACAGTAATATTCCTGACAATACCTTGACAGATGATCTAAAACTAATGACTGAAATGGAAAACAGTATTCCTGACAATATTCCAGAACTCCAGGGTTCTGAAACAATTGGGGCTACATCTGTCTCAGGAGATGATACTGGACAAGGAGTATTATCTCTGAGTGATGAAGGAGACATGGGGGTGTTGCAGGGCACAGACACAGAGGCATCATTTGAAGCAGAGAATATTTCATTGCCAACACAGTCCCATCCAGATCCTACCTGGATTGCCCAAGAGCTTCCTTCTCCAATTCAGCCGCTTCCTCTTGAGCCAAAGCCAGCTATGCAATCTGCCTCCACAAAACAAAACATCTTAGAGCTACAGGGAACCAATTCACTAGAAACCAGTACCACAACACCGCTCAGTGAGGCAAGTTCAGTTGGTCAGAGAGCCACACTGGAAACCCAAGGATCCCTTTCTCACCCTCTGTGGGAGGAACCTGTGCTTTGTGCCAAAGAAAGTTATGGGGTATTTGATGCCCAGAAAGATCCACCTGCAGCCCTCCAGGAAACAGAGCAGCCAAGATCACGTTTTGAGATCCCAAACATGACCAATTGGCCAAAGCTCCATTTCCCATCCTCTGCTACTGACTATGGGAAACCACTGAGCTCTTTCTTTTCCCCACCTTCCTCCTCTGGCAATAGGGGAGCAGAGACTGGTTTAATGTCCGGTTTTAAGAAGTTGTCAGCTCTGTTTGAGGGAGGTAATGAGGGCAAGGGCAGTATAGTGGCAAATGATCCTAAACTAAGGTTTGGAAAGAAGCTGGACCTTTTGTTCCCCTGGCCAAAAGAGCACAAAGGGGACCCTGAACAAATGCCTACAGAATCCTCCACTCCAGTTTTGATTTTCAGCAGTGACCAGGACCTTAACTCCAGGGAGGCTGACAAAGCCTTGGAGTCTTCTCAAATGTCCTGGGCCAGTGCTGACCCAGCTAAGGTCTCTGCTCATCTCTCTGTGACCTCTGATCGGCTGGAGCCCAAGCCAAGTATAGGTGCTTGTGGGCTTTCAGGGCTTGGAGAAGTGGAAAACCAGCAGGAAATCCCAGCATCTGGAGAAGACTGGAATACCAAAGGCAACCTTTCTGGCCTCACCAGTCTTTCAGAGAGTCATGAGGAAGAGCACTGTACTGTCTCTGAGCTACTTCACCAGCCAGAAACACAAGGAGAGGAGGCAATGCCTGCCAGCTCTGACTCTGTTTTGATTGTACAGCTGCCAGTTACTCTGCATGGCATCAAGGAAACAAAGACCAATGAAAGGCCTGTTCTCAACTAAAGCATCATAAATGATTTCAAGGAATTGATCATTTATGATGCAATGACTTAGAGGTAGATTAGATATAGCCTGCTTTTCATCCTTCCTCTGTCTTTCCTAGCACCCGAATTTCATGTTAATTAGAGGTTAAGTAACAAGAAATAATGTATGGGTCTTTTCATCCTCTCCCTTCTCTCTAGTGCCAAATTTAAATTTATTTATTGGAACAAGAAGTTTCCTACTTAAAGGAAAGGCTAGGCCCTGACATTTACCCACTCTGATTTGCTCTGCCTTATATAACATGGAATGGAGAAGGGAGGGTAGGAAGAGGCAGCAAGTAGTTGAGTAGTATATATTAATTACAACCACATGATGGGCTAGGATGCTTCCATGGGCCTTCAGCACTTATATCTGTAATAGCTGGGGAGAGACCTACTTTACTTCCCTTTTCCAAGTCTTCTAAGATACTTTCCTCAGTGGCAATGAGGGTATTAAGTAAAATACAAAATACAAAGGACGGCTTGGGATAATCTATATTCTATATCCTGTTCCAGATGAATTTGCATAGCTTCTTCCAGTCTGTGCCTTTTCTATCTATGAGACTTGTGTCTGATAAATGCTTTGAATGAAGTCTCACAGGAGCTCAGGGCTATTATCTGCTGTAGTTCTTCAGTCTGGACCATTGTCAGGTCTATCTGCAAAGGGTACTATTATTTCTCCTAAGAAGAAGCACCATACAGTGCAGTTTAAGAATGATGCTTTGATCTCTGGCAAAAAACTGTCCAAAGAGGCTGGTCAGGGGCTTTAGAGATTGTGTGTGTGTGTGTGTGTGTGAGAGAGAGAGAGAGAGAAAGAGAGAAATGAAAATACCAGGTAATTGGGAGGAACCATAGGGAAAATATTACTGGAAAACAACCATGTATCTTCATTTGGCCAAGAGTAAACATAAGCCCTTTAGTTGAAGGCTTGACTCTCTGGCTTTCTAGCAGGTTACCAGAAGTAAAATAAGGGCCCCTGACTTGGATGGGACTATCCAAATGGACTGGGATAGGTCTTGTAGATTATCACTAAGTCCCTCTATCTTGAATAGGTCGGAACGTCTTAGATTCTACATATGGCTGAAGGGAGTAACTTCTGGGTACTGCTCTTCTTTTTGGCCATGAGTCACTGCTACAACCCATCCTACCCCAGATCTGGTGCTACAAAAAGACCACGTCCTAGGTCTTTGCTACAGCTTCTAACTCTCATAGCAGGGGAACAAATTTCCTTTCTGGGTATGGGAACTTGGGTGTTTGAGAGAGGGTTGGGTTGACCTCTCTTCAGGTATAGAAATTCATTAATATGGCCCTGACCTAGATCCTGGAGTTGGACTTTGTCCACTTTATCCAAAATTAAGCTATGTCCTGAGAACAACTTAGTTACAGATGGGCAAGTTCATCTATGGGACATTCTGTATGCTGTCAGGAATATCATTGTAACATTCATGAGATGAATGGTCAATGAAATCCCATGAGGAATTTCTTGATCCTAACCTCCATCTCTCAGTGGCTTCCATTACCTTATTGTGCAGATGTCTGAGAGATAATTGAAGGGATATGTCTATTGTCCTTTGCTCATTCTAAGGCACAGGCATCCACATTAACAATTGTACAGGAAGGAAAGGGGACCTCAATTTAACAAATAATAGCAAAAGGGAGTAGAGTTCATCCATTTTATTATGTGAAAATTAGAAAACTTTAATCACAGCCACTGGACAAGTTTCTTTAGAAGTCTCAGTAAAGAATTTTAGACTTTTAACAATAGGCTTTTTAATAATTCTTAATCTACTTATGAATATCACATTAAGACAAGGCATGCTTCAAAGTCAATTGCTGTGTTGAGGTTAAGTGCTGTTTAAGAACCCAGCATGTGTTTTTTCCCTGTTGTGACTGCTAAGTAGAGACTAGGTCTTCTAGATTGTAAAGTTTGGTCCTCCATTCCCAGGAACCTCCTGTTTGTGATTCTTGCCATTGATACAATCATTATTTCCGGGATTAATCTATTACTTTTACTCTGATCCTTAGTTTGCACTTACTTACTCATCTGTATTCCTCTCCTTCTCACAGCCCCACCAGCAGTAGTAGGTATGACTCCTCCTGTAATGTGAGCCAAGGAAGCTCTCAGCTGAGTGAATTGGACCAGTGTCATGAACAAGATGATGACCGTCGGGAGAAGGACTCAATTCATTCCTGCCACAGCTCTGGTAGCTTCTCTAGAGATGTCCAAGTGGCTTTTGGAGAACAAGAGAAAACCTTGGAGGTGACTGGTGAAGTAGAGAAGGGGAGAGCATGTGAACCCAAGGAGATGAAAGATGTCACAACCCATCCTACCCCAGATCTGGTGCTACAAAAAGACCACGTCCTAGGTCCCCAAGAGAGGTAGGTGATGGCTGCTTGAGGAGCTCACAAGGTTTCCTCAGTCCTACCCTGTTATATTGCTGAATATGTGCTTTTCATTTTTCCCCCTACAGTTGGGTTTGGTGGTGATGAGGGTACTGAGGCTTAGTTCTACATTCTCCCTTTGATTTTTGGTATAAGTCCCAAGATATTTTAAAGATCTCTTAAGAATACTTGGGATCTTTGTAGTTAGCTAGAGTGTACCAGGCTTTTTTGAATTTGAAGTTCTTGGCTTGCTAGTTGACCCCATATATGGTAGCCTCTGAGTGTGGAACTGACCTGAGCCCTGCAGATTATTTCATTCAAAGGAGCTGCTTAGAATGAAATAGGCTTCCAAGTATATTAATATTTAAAATGATTTTATGAACATTGCTTTTTGGTTTTTTGTGTGTGTGTTTTCCCCCCTGGCTGAGAAAACCAGGACAGGGTTGAGATAGAATTGATATCAAAGCCAGATCTAACTCACTCCTCAGCCTCTGCAGGGCCTAGCAGTGTATCTGGCAGTTGGTACCCATAAGAAAAAATTTAAATATTTCCTTTTAACAGTCTTATAATGAAACTTAGTACAGAGTTTGAGTGTTATTATTGAGCTAAATTGGTCAGTAACGTTGCTGATAGGTTAGGGCAGAGCAGGACTTCTCAGTCTTGGCATTATTGACATTTTGTACCAGATAACTCTTTTTTGGGGGGGGGAGCTATTGGGTGCATTGTAGGATGTTTAGGAGTATCCCTGGTCTGTACACTCTAGATGCCAGTAGCAACCCTTAGTGTGACAACCAAACATGTTTCCAGATATTGCCAGATTTCTGTAGCCCCATTTGAAAACCACTTATGGAGAGTGATAAGGGGTAGGTGTGACTTAGATTCTCAAATGTCAATATCTAATAATAAAGCTTCTCACTGAAAGATCAGAGCAATGAATGCTGATTACGAGGTAAAAGTGAGAGAATGGTTGGTATGTCAACTCCACCACTAAAAGTATAAACGTATTTTCTCTTCTTCCTTTTTCTTAATCTTTAGTCATCTTTGGTGGCTCATCTAATAGATGAAACATCCAGGAAATTGAGCTCTGGACCAGCTTTTTTACTGGGTTGACAACCCACTGAAAGATGACTCTTTGTAGACCTTATGTAACCGGAACCAAGGTTCCGCTACCTGCCACCATGAAAGCCAAACTTGTGAGACAGATGCTGGTAAAAAAGGAAAGAGGATTATTCAAGTGCTAGTAACCTGAGAAGATGGGGGACTTGTCGCAAAGCCCATCCTAGAATTGATATCAAAGCCAGCTCTAACTCACCCCTCAGCAGGGGTTTTTATAGGAAGGGAGAGGGAAAGCAGAACAAAGAGATGAGGAGGAGGGGCTGTGGACGTGCAGGCAGTGTCCTTGTTGGTCCTGATACGGATTTTTAATGTCAGCATGCTGGAGGTCAGTGCTAGTGAAATTCCTGAAGTTGGGTGATCTGCATCAACTGAAGTTGTGGTCAAGGCTGTTTCTTGTATAAGCAGGAACTAGAACTGCCGATGCCTGCAATATTCTTATAAGGAAACTGTCATTATGTGAGTTTCTCTTACCAGTTTGTGAGTATATTTTATTCTGATTCCATTTCATGGTTAGTCAGAGTAGTATTAAGTTTTTATTCCCTGTTAACTTAGACTTGGCAGATACTGTTGTCTGTGTAGAGTTCTTGGTAGAGCAGCAGAAGTGACCAGCATGAGCATTTGTCCTTCTATACTGGCTGTGTCCTCTCAGATCCTAGTTGTGAATTCAAGTTCTACCTTGGCCAGAAGGGCTTACAAATGTTTTAGAACAATTGATCCAGTTAGATTACATTAGAGCCCAGCATATACATTTTTACATGTCTAGATGGTAGGCATTTGTTTGTTGCCTTGGCGGTATACCACAGTGGGCGACAGGAGAAGTATTATCACCAAGAATCAACCACTATTCTACAGTTAAGGACCTGGATGATGACTTGTTCTAATCCAGCGTAGTATTTCTGTCTCAAAGCTGCTTTGTTATATTTATTGTTCATTTCTCTGAGGGTGTACCTGAGGCAGCTCAAGGAATAATATAAAGGCAGAAAAAGGGCTGTGCTTTTTTTCTTAGCACTTTCGATGTAGTCTAGGAATTGGTAAGCCTTCCAAAATACTTAGTAGAGCAGCAAGAGTTTTCAGGAACAAAATTCTGCCCTAAGGATGTCATGTAGAACCCCCAAAGGAGGCTGTTGGTCTTGAGAGGTGAGGTGAGAGAGTTATTCTATACCTCTCTGCACAGTTTTAATTCTAGACATTAACTCAGGCCCTTGCCATTGCTACTAGTATCCTGATCCCTGACTGTCCTAGTGAACTCTACCTCATTGGATGAGCAAAAAAAGGGGAAAGAGAAGGAACAGATGAGAAGCTCAAAGGAGTTGTCATTTCAGAGAGGATTTTTTTTTTCCACATTGGACATTCATGCTGTTTTAGTGGCCTGAATCACTAAACAAGTGTAGGCATGAATATAAATAATTTTATTTAGATATTAGGCAGTTTTGCCTGTTGCCGTGTGGCCTGGGCTATTTTTAAGGACTATTCTTTTTTTTTTTTTTTTTTTTACAAGTTTTCCTGAGGAGACTGCATCTTCGCCGTTCACCCAAGCCAGAGCACATTGGATCCGAGCAGTTACCAAGGTTCGACTCCAGCTGCAGGAGGTAGGAAATCTATTGTTCTAGTACTAGTTGGAATAATTTTTCCTTTGAAATTGGGAGACATATGGTGCCAAAGAAGCAATCAGTGATTAGTCATCTTCTTAGTGTATTTCTGGGAATATATGACAAGTAAACCAGAGCCTTAAGAGATGATGGGAAGTGGTCATTGGCTTCCATCTATGCTGATTAATGAAAATCAAATAATCCTGGTAGGTCAAGAGTCTGAAGATAAAGTTATATACTATTTTCAGTACCATAATCAGCCAAATGGTAACTTTCTATTTCTGTTATCCTTTCTACATTCATTAACTGGCATTCTACTATGAGGAAGAGATATCCTTTTTCTTCCACCAATTTATATCGATGTGGACTCATTGATTCCTAATTTATTACACGAGTTCTATCTAAAATAACTATCATTTATTTTAAATTGTCCTTTGTATAAGCACTGTTCATTTGACCCTTTAGCAAGAAGATAATGTTTTAGAAGTGATTGAAAAAGTAGCTGCTTTGGAGGAAGCATTTTCAATACACATGTTTGAAAATGCTTCCTTGTGTGTGTGTGTGTGTGTGTGTTCTTTTGTTATTAGAAACAGTGCTACAAAAACTCATAACTGCCTATTTTAAAATCTTGGAAAGAGGCTATTAACGTATTAAATGAAAATTTTAATGAGGTTTGAACTTATTTGTTAGAAATATAAAAGTATTTCTGACTATTTTGTAAGACATCAGAGAAGATGAAAACAGCCAGATTTTAATAAAATCTTTGGTATGTAGGACATAATTGTACATTTTTCATTTGACTGGTGTATCAATATCTTTTTTAGCGGTGACAGCTATAAAAACTAAGCATTGAAATACTTGATGTGGAACTAGACCTTCAAATCATTCTGTAAACTAAGATTTCAAAAATAATGAAATGTCAATTTTAAAAATAATGAAGAGTCAATGTCATAATACCTATTAATATTTTATTTCTAATTTTTAAGAAATAAGGGTCTTGTAATTCTTATTATAAAGGAAAGTAAAATAAATAACCTTCACATAAAAGAAGAGTCCTGAATGAGAAAGATAAGAGTATATATTGGAGCAGAAACAGTTTGTTATGACGTTCTTTTTAAAAGGCATTTCAGAGTCTTTCAAAAACAATAGCTAAAAACAGTTGCCAAAGCTTGGAATTATTTAGAGAAAGGCATGGTTCATTTATGAGTAATTAAGAACCATTGCCACTTAATTGAATAAGAGAACAATTATAAATATATTTTCAACATAGGTAATGTAACTGGAAGCTGATTGAGTATTGCCAAGAGAAGAAAGACAAGCCAGAGTTCAAAGAAGGATTTGATAACAGGTTAAGATAGAGGCAGAAGTACACCATTTATACTCAAGATGAGATTTGCTGACAGATTGTTTGAGGTTGTGAGACAGTAAGAAGTATGACATCAAGAGGTTTTCCCCCTGAATAGTCACCCCTTAATACTCTGCCTCAAGATAATATTTTTTGTTAGTTTCTATTATTCTAGAATTTCTTTATGCAAGTGTAAGCAAATATGAATATATATTCTAATCTCCCCCTAATTTTTATTTTCACAAATATGGTGTATTATACACACTGAGAATATCTTGCTTTTTCACTTACAGATTCTTCCATATTAGCTCTGAGAGTACGTTTCTTTTTTAAACAGCTGCATAATATTCCCCTATATGAATATATTACAAGTATTTAACTAGTCTCTGTTCATGTTTGTTTGGTTGTTTCCAGTCACTTGTTATAACAACCATGTTCTAAAGGAGTACCTTTTACATGTGTCATTTTGCATGTATGCACATGTATCTAAGGGGATATGCATATGTAATTTTGATAAATATTGCCAGATTGCCCTCCATTTGTCAGTGGCTTAAAACAGCGAAGGTTTATTTTACTCATGCTGCTTGTCATTCTATATGTTCTTATATTCTGCTTTAAATTGTGTTTTCTCTGCAAACCAGGTTGATGGCATAGCTTGCACCTAGAACATTGCCAGTTGTGGTGGTAGGGGGAAAGAAAAGATAACAGATGAAAGAGAACATAGTAAATTGCATTCTGGCTCTTAAAACGCCTGCCCAGAAGATACAATATGTCACTTTTGCTCACATTTCCCCAGCCAAAGCAAATCATAAAGCCATATTTAACTTCAAGTTAGTAGTGTTTATACCCTGAAAAAGATAGGGAAGGATTTGTGAACAGCTTTAATGACTACCCCAAAGGGTATCTGCCTTCAACAGAGATTGTATCAATTTATATTCCTACCAGTAATGTCACCAGGGTGCTTTTTGCTGCCCAAACCTAATAGAATGGCTTTAGGATTTTTGCTAGTCTGCTAGGCAATGGTGTATCTCAGAAGAGTTTAAATTTACGTATCTTATTATCAGTAGAGTTAAGCATGTTTTCATATAAGTAAAGGCTATTAGTGTTTACTTTACTGTGAACAGTCTGTTCATATTTTTTTTTTTTTGCCTATTTTTCCTATTAAGCTTTTGAATTCCAGGAGCTTTTTGTTGTTTTGGGGGAATTAACTCTTACCTGAGATATGAGTGTCCAATATTTTTTCTCAGTGTATCACTGTGAGCAAGTTTTTTAATCTTAATGAGATACATTTTCTTAATCCAGAAAAACAGGAGAATAATAGTACCTTTTCTTTTAGGATTATAAATTATGTATTAAAACTATGATTTAAAAGAGGAAGCCAGAAAAAAATGTACTTAATTGATTCCACATTGCTTTCATGATAAAATAAAAATAATAGTACCTTTTCTTTTAGGATTATAAATTATGTCTTAAAACTATGATTTAAAAAGAGGAAGCCAGAAAAAAATGTACTTAAATGATTCCACATTGCTTTCATGATAAAATAAGACTTTTGTGATTCAGCTCAGTATGGTCCATGGACCAGCCCAGTTCACGAAGTTTGTTTCTAGTCTTTATTGAAACAATTACTGAAATTGAAAGCGAACATTTAGAGGCAGTTTGGATTGCTGTGACATCGAGCACATGATCAATGGTCTCATGTCATTGAACAGGGTATAGACCAAAATTACCAGTCCATGACATATTGGAAATAAGAAACAGATCCTTCACAAAAGAATTTGAAAAGCCTGATATAGACCCAATATTCCTTTGCAGTCTTACCTCTTTCTACAGTTCTGTTTCATCAACACTTCCAACTATACAATTATTTTTCAAAATCTCAGAGGCTTTATACTTGCTATTTCTCATACATGGAATACTCTTTCTCTTTCTCCACCTAGCTCATATTTATTTTTAATCCTCACCTGAGGATATATTTTTATTGATTTCTTTTCTTTTTTTAGAAAAAGAAAGGGAGGGGCTAGGGAGTGAGAGAGAGGGCAAGAGAGAGAAACATTGATCGGTTGCCTTCCATATGTGCCCTGGGAACTGAATCTGCAACCTAGATATGTGCCCTGACTGGGAATCGAACCCACAACTTCTTTAATGTATGGGACGACACTCCAACCAGCTGAGCCACCTGGGTAGGGCCACCTAGCTCAGTTTTCATTCACATCTTTTAAAACCCACTCAAGGACATATGTAATACTTTCAACAATAAAGATTAAAAATAAAACACCCACTCAGGTGTCAAGTTTTTTTGTGTGTGTAAAGCTTCCAGGCTCTGTGCATACTTTTTCTAGATTGGCATTTACCATGATGTAATTGAGTTTCTTGTTTGCTGCTACATCTTACTTTTCTGTGTATTTGTAAGATCTTTGAATGTGGGGCTATACTTTTTATTGTTGGTGTTCTAGAGCCCAATGTAGAACCTAGCAGAATATTTAGCCAGCCTTTTATGGATGCTTAAGTAGCCAGAAAAGCCCATCAGCATTTCCACAGAAGTTTCCCTGTGCTTCTTTATCTTCTCTTAATGATTCCTATTTTTATTTTCCTAAGTCAAGTACCTAAAGCCAATAACAGCAAAATATTAACTATGTTTTTAAATATAATCTATAATAATAAAAGCATAGTATGCAAATCAACTGAACAGCCGAACAGTAAGAACAACGGTCTGGACTACCACGCTATGACATACACTCGCGCCAGGCCAGCCAAGGCGGGTGCGATGTGATTGGTTGGGGGCCCTGCCATCACCCCACATCGTCTAGCAGAGGGAGGCCCAGGCCACCCTCTGCGGGATGATCGATTGGGAGGCTCCGCGGAACTGGGGAACTGGGGGGTGGTGTGGAGGCGGACAGGGGCAGCGCCAGTCCAAGGCAGGTGCTGGTGGGGGCCGGGGCTGCGAAGCCAGCAGCCGGGGGAAGGGAGGCCTACCCTTGCATGAATTTTATGCATCAGGCCTCTAGTTTTTATATACATGAATATAAAGTTACTGAATCTGGACCATATTATGTGTGGATTTAAAATTTTTCTCATTTAGATTGTTTTTGTGTGCCTTAATCTGGGTTATTAAATATTTTTGAAAATATTATTTAATGATTATTAATAGGTTAATAATATTCCATCATGTAGATGTTCCAAACAATTTCTCTTGTTTCTTTACTAAGAAAAATAATGCTATTATGAACATCATTAAGTCTGTTTTCATTTCTGATTATTTTATTTTTAACTTAGCTTTCTCAAAATAGAGTCAAATAAATTAAAGAGTATATACTTTTTAAAGGCTTCTGATAAACTTCTAGGTGTGTTTTCAGAAAATTTTTCCAATTTGTACTTTGAATATTTGAATATGCTGTACCAACATATTCATTTTAGAAAATGTTTGCCAATTTGGCAGAATAATGATATATACCATTATTTTCATTTGCATTTCTTTATTTGTGATTTAAATATTCCTGTAAGTTTATAGGACATTTATACTTCTTTAGCTGATACTACATTCAGTAGACTTTGAGGAACTATTCTTATGCCATTTCTATAAGAGTGTTGGCAGCTTGAGGGAAGAGATCATATAGGGCATCTCTATCTGGGCTAGCTGCGTACCCGGCCATAT